GACTTGATTGAAAAATTTCCTAACAATACTATAATTTTCTTGAATGTTTCAAAATAATTTTATCAATGTTTACTAATTAAATAATAGTATTAGAAACATTTGCAACAAATACAAACCTTGTCGGTTTGTTGAATGCCAACACTATACCCTATTTGACATTTGTAAATCAATCAACTATGTTATAGACTGCGTGGATTATAATCGTAAATATTTAAACTTTAAGGAACTAAGAAAAATTATGGCAAGTAATAGACCACACTCTGGAATAAGTGACAAAAGACATAAGAAAGGTACGATACCATACTACTTTTCACGCATTAAAACTAACTCTGATACAAGCCCTACAAAACAACAGAATGACAAAAATACAAAAAATGCCAAAAAGGGTACGATACCATTCTATTTCGAAGTATTACATAAGAAGAATCTTTTTCGTACATAAGGCTGCTGAACAGCTAACATCACATTTTAGAATAATTCATCAAAATATTAGTAATGTTTTGGCTAAGCAAGCATTATTAGAATGAACGCTAATAGACTTACGACAAAATATAAATCCGGACATAATATGTTTATCTGAAACATTTTTTTAAAATTCAGAATTATAGTCTGGCTGCAACTTTTTGCCGAGACGCACGAAGAGCAGGAATTTGTATCATAGTAAAACGTATACACACGTATAGCACAGTATATAACGAATTAGTTTTCATAAAAAATATGGCAGTTCAAATGTTATTTGAAGTATGCGGAATAGAAATCCCAGTACACAGATTTATTATTATATGCGCGTACAAAAACCCTCATTAAGATTCATCTCTTTTTTTGTATAAGTTAGACTGTTTATTACATGAAATACATAAAAAGTATAAGTATAAGGTAAATATTGTCGTCTCTGGTTACTTTAATATTAATACATTAAAACCAGGAAGGACAACAAACCAGTTACAGGAAGTAGCACAAAATCATGACTTAAATATCCATATTAATGTGCCCACGCGCAAACACTTCTGTATAGATCATATTTTAAGTAATATATAGGATTCAAATGCTGTATCTTTCCGATCATGACACTGCACAATTACTAAGTTTTCCTGTACAGCATATGCCTCCAGAATTAAAATTCTTCTTTACCTACAAAAGAGATTTTTCTTTGCAAAATATTAGAAAATTCAGAGAATATTTGAATGCACTTTCATGGACTACAGTATTTACAGTGCCAGATCTTAATATAGCGTTTGATGAATTTCATGAATTTTACCGCCTGCTATATAATTCATGTTTTCCAAAGATCCGAATTAAAATACATACCAACGATAAGAGACAAAAATGGATGAGTCGTGGATTACGGAAAAGTGCTAAAACTAAACGTAAATTACGATACCAGTTTTATGGTAACAAGACGGAAAACAATAAACATAAATATCTAAACTATTCCAAAATTTTAAGAAGCATTTACAGATCAAGGAAAAACGCCAATGCAAAATTTATAAATAACAGTACCAATAAATGTAAAGCGATGTCGCTGTCGCTTTACATTTATTAGGTCGATTATTAAGGCTGAAATTAGTAATATGAGATATGACGCTAATATCAATGACATTGCAATCAACAGTACTAAAATTACTAACCCAGTTGACATTGCTAATGATTTCAATGACTTTTTTCTGAAGAAAGAAATTACTTGACTCGATCAGATAATAATCTTACGACAAAAATGCTAGGTAACTCAATGTTTTTATCATCTATAACAGAAGATGAAGTAAAGCGAGAAGTGACGTCATTAAAAAACACGAACTCGGAAGGTTATGATGAAATTGGCACGAAAATAGTAAAAGCCAGTAATAATGAAATATTGTCGTGTTAACTAATTTAATTAATTTATCATTTACTTCGGGAACTTTCCCTGAAGCATTAAAGTATTTATAAAACCGCTTTTTAAAAAGGGTAAAAAAGATGATATTAATAATTATCTCCCAGTTACGCTTATATGTATTTTATCAAAAGTATTTGAAAAGTTTATGTATAAAAGACTTGTAGACTTTTGTGATAAGTTTAATATTATAAAACCAGAGCTACACGGTTTCCAAAAGCGGAAATCTACAACATTAGCAATGTATACTCTTATAAAATCAGTACTGAATAATATTAATAGCGGTAACTTAACTACAGGATTATTCTTTGATATGTCAAAAGCGTTTGACTATGTGTCACACAATTTACTTCTTAAGAAATTGGAAAGGATAGGCATAAGAGGACCTATTTTGCAATGGATGGAGTCATACTTGACGAACCGTCAACAATGCGTTATTGTCTCCAAAATAACAAATAATGAATTATTGGAATTCAAGTCAGTACCTAAAATTAAAATACGTGGAGTACCATAGGGAAGTGTTATAGGACCGATTCTGTTCTTGCTGTACATAAATGATATTATCGACAGAACAAAACATCAATGCATATTATTCGCTGACGATATATCTATTGTAGTAACTTCTAGTAGAAAAACAACATCACGAAGAGAGCATGAGCTAGAAATATACAATACAATTGTTTACACCTTACTACCATGTACATTCTAACAAGATCGAAGATGTACAGAGGAGAGCTCTCAGATCTCTCTTTTATAGATTGGGTCATTGTCGTCGTCAGATGCCTACCTACGAAACCAGACTATGTAAATGCAACCTAGTATCACTTAGTGTCCGTCGAACAATGTATGATTTAATATATCTTCACAAAATCTTACATTCTTACCTTGGTTCCGCAAATTTTTTGGCTAGTATTAATATTAACATTAGATACAACCCTCGGCGTCCAAAGGCTCTAAATGTTTTTAAAAGCAACACATCTTTTTACAATCCCATGACAATAAACAATTAGACATATTTTATTCTGTCACGTATTAAAAAAGTCTGTCTCAGATGTCCTCAAGTAGTATAATTAAACTATAAAAGTTAAAATAATAATAATTTCATTTTAACACTTTTTTTTCTTTTTTTGTATTTTCTTTTATATGTTTGTGCCAAAATAAATTTGCAAATTATAATTAAATGATAGTAACTTTCCTAAACATGCCGTACGTACACGCTCCTGGTTGGCATTCTGGTTCAAATCTAGTTTTAAACAAATTAATGTGTTGTTGTGGTGTCGACTGTTGTGTTCGTCTAAAAAATTAAAAAAAAAATTGTTGAAATAATCAATTGGCTACGTTCAAATAATCTGAATATTAACTTAAACAAATCAAACTATATACAATTTAATAAAACGAGATATACTAAATATAATTTCAATTTAAATATCGGTGCAATTCAGGAAGTACCCCACACAAAATTTCTTGGAGTAACCATAAATCATGAATTGAACTAGAAAACTCACGTCGAGAATGTATGTTTGAGAATCAATAAGTTTGTATATGCCTTAAAAAAGCTGAAAAATATAACAAATAAGAAAGCTGTCATAATCACATATAGGGCGTATGTAGAATCCCTATTACGTTACGGTATTATAGTATAGGCCCTATACTGATCTGTACTATACTTATGCGATGTACTATACTATACTTATGTATATATGTACTTAGCAGAGCTTTTGTAGCACAAAATAAATGCATTAGAGCAATTTTTGGAATTCCCCCGGCTGAAACATGCAGACCCTTGTTTCATAGCCTTGGTCTTGGCTGTTGCCACTGCCGTCATTATATATTTATCGAAATTTGTATTTTTGTACGAAAACACACATATTTGTGATGTGAATACTAGACTCAGCAGAAAGCCGAATAGACTTGTACTTGACACTATTCCTATGACTGCTAAATACAGTAAGAGTTGTTTAAAAATGTGTGTTGACATATATAATAAAATACCACTTGAGATTAAACTATTACACTTAAGTTTATTTAAAACAAAGCTGTACAAGTGGTTAAATAAAAATAATTTTTATGACCTAAACGAAATATGTGACAGAAAATAAGACGTAAGATTTTATCTTGAAGATTATCATTCTTGACCAAATTAATTTGTAACTTGACACGTTTGTGACATTTTTGTATTATTGAGTTGTGGTAGTCTGATCGACATTATATAACGAGAAATTTGCACGCTATTTAATATATGCGAAACATATTTGTACTGGCACTCTCTTATAACATCTTCTGTTATATCATGTTTTAAGCAAATAAACGAAGTATTACTATTATTATTAAGATTGTGTGACATACGTGAGGAAAGTTTTTATTTGCCGCCATTTCGCCAGTCGTAACATGCGGTTCCACACATCACTGAGAGCTTATAATATGTGTGAGTAGATAAAGCAGTGGATCGCAAGTGCTAGTTTTCATGTTATTGTTAGCAAGTAATATAATTAAAATTTCAAATAGTAATGAAACCTTCCCATTAACTAATTTATCTTTATAAACGAAGTACTTTTTATAGATTTCACATGTTTATTTAACACCACGATGGAGGCTATTATGTTTTGAGTACAATTGTTTTGTTTACAGTGAGCTTCAATTTATTTTCGGTTCTCTTTCAAGTATGACCTGGACCAAACGTACCAGGCAGAGAAAATTATTCTTAGCTTTAATTATTTGTTATCAACAGTACGATCACCAGCTGAAATAGGGTCAGACCTTTTTGTTACACATCGTACATCATGTTTACGTTATTGCCCATTTAAAACGAACCTAATAACGTACAAAATAAGGTTTTATTAAAAAAATATATTGTTATCGTATCCTGAAAAGACCTCATGCAGCGATAAGTCAGAATGATTGCAGCACTAAACTGGACTCAGCGATTTTACGACATATTTTACGAGGACCACCGCCACCAGAGCTTAATAATTTCAATATTTCAGTTCTAGGATTATAAAGAGCTAGGTTTATGTTAGTTATCGTCGTATCCTGGAATTTCTGTTTTGGTTCGTGGATAATTATTTGACAGTGATCTTATGAAGATCGTATCGATTTGTATTTTATTTTGCATCCAATGAAAGTATTTTACCTTATATCACCTTTCTGGAGAGAGATTTCTTCGAACACTACCTTCACACGTTCTTTGGGCCTGAAAAAATAATTAAATTTACTACCAGAACAGTACATACGCTTGTGCATATTAAATCATCATCTGAGAAAGAATTCTGTTCAAAAATTCTTTAATATCATAATAGCATTTATTTATTAAATGAATTATATTTTAATTATTTTAAAAATAGTCTATAATTAGTTTCGTTTTTCAGTGCATTCGGTAGTTGATAATAAATTTTTAGAGCCATCATATGTGGGCAAGAGGAATACAGAGTTAATCTTGACTTGGAAGAATTAATCTATTTTTGTGACGTAATAAAAATTTTGATGGAATGTCTTGACGACGTTTAAAAAAATTCTGGTTATTGTGAACAAATTTACAAATCTCATATATATATATATATATATATTGAGGGAAGCGTTAGTAACTTGTGCTTCTGGAAGTGATCATCATCATTTCAGCCGATAGCTGTCTACTGTTGGACATAGGCCGCCCCCAAAGATCGCCACAGTGACCGGTCTTGCGCTGCTGGCATCCAGCGTATTCCTGCTACCTCCACCAAGTTATGAATCCATCTTGTGGGAGTGTGTTTTTCGGTACGCGATCGCCACTCGAGAACAGTTTGGTCCCATTGGTAATCTGTTCTGCGACCGCATATTAAAATCTGAATCGTATAGTAAAAGGGTATTAGACTCAATTTTTAATTAACGCACTTGAACATGCTGAGACTTGATATGAAATTCGTTTTACGATATCTCGACAACACCAGAGATATTAAAGTCAGTGGCGGGGGATATTCCGTCCCTTTATAGCAACACGGTCATTAGTATGCTAGCTTGTATGGCGACATCTGGGTTCCGTTGTCACAAACAAGTGTTGCCGTTTCTTCCAAGTCCAGATTTCTAAATGCTTGTAACAATTTTACTTTCCAACGAATTTCAATTTTGCTTTCATATATGTCTATTTTCTAATACTAATGAAAAAATACATTTAATTGTTTTTTGCAGAAAAAAAAAAGCTTTTTATAGACAATAGTGAACTAAAGGGAAAAGATGTTTTGGCACCTAACAAGTCACGATACTTTTCTTCGAAGCATTATAGAAGGGAAGATAGGCAGAGGAAGAACGAGATGAAGATATTTAGGCCAGAAAAGGGAAAAGTTGATGTCGCATCATATCAAGAATTCAAAGTTAGGACGCTGAACAGAGATGGCTGAGAATTACTTCACTGACAAGAGTTTAGCTTTTACATAAGAAGATATATGCTGGGGGTTTCACGCCTATGTTGTTAGTATTCTACGAGGATATATCCCATTGCGAACGGATTTTGAAGGCGAGAGTGAATAGGCACTATTTACGTGTGCACCACGTGTGCACGCTCCGTTGTTGGTCTCACCGTCACTTTCCATCATTTAAGATGGACGTCAAATGCGCACTTATTTTTTAATGAAAAAAGAAATTGGAAATGGGTATTTTGACGGCCTATGTGGTCGAGTGGCATGCACACTAGTTTTAATGTTGTCGCCATCTCTGAGGTTCCGGGTTCGATCCCCGGCCGGGTCAATGTAGAAACTAATTTTTCTATCTTGTCTTGGGTTTGGGTGTTTGTGATACTGGTGTTGCCAATTTCCATAACACAAGTGCTTTAGCTACTTACTTTGGAATAAGAGCAACGTATGTGATGTAGCGCCAATTCACATTCATACTATTATTGGCTTCAATGTTGTAATAACAATACTTAAGTTATAATTATGTATTAAAATACAAACCTTGCATGAAAATAATACGAACATCGCACATTATTCGGATAGATGGAGGGGTATTGCGGGCTGTAGAGTCGACCGTGTGTCGGTCGGTTGCCTGACCGGCTGAATTGGTAGTCGCAGTCAGTGCCCGATAGACGAACACCGTCTATCTCGAATAATCCTGCAAACAAAATAAAAATAAACGTCAGGATTATAGAAAGCCGAGTTCTTAGGTGTTCGCGATTGTTACACATAGGAAATGAAACAAATTTTTCGGATCTAATTCTCGTATATTTGTTTCTTCATACAAACCAAAGCTTCGGGCCATTTACGGCCCCGTGGTCACGGTCCTATTTATAAATAGTGATAATACGCATTATCAATAACATGTTTGTACATTACGATACCATTATTTAATTTGTAATTATGTAATTGAAAACTCAATATGCTGATTAAAATCCTATTTTTAGTAATATTTTCCTCCAACCCAAGCAACATTTAGTAGCAGTAGAGATTCTTGTGAAACAGTGTTAGTACAGGGAAGTATTGTTGCATTCCGGTTTTGAAGGGTAAGGGTGCTGGTGAAATTACAGGCACATGGGACTTATCTCAGGGTGATGAGCGCAGTGCTCCACAGATCTTTGCGATTGAAAGCTCTAAGTGGCATTGCAATTGCTATGGACAGGCGTGCCGCTTACCACCAGGCATGCGACTTGTTCGTCCCGTCACTTAATATTATAAAAAAAAGAATTTATTTTATTTTTATTCATTTTTACAGGACTTAACCTAATGCAATAGTGTAGCCAAAATTATAGATTATTTAATATTGTATATTATTTATTGCACTATTGTATTGTATTGTACCGAGTTATATTAAAAAAATCTTATAAGATTATTCAATATAGAAATTGTAAGCAAGAAAGTCATTCCTAATTTTTTTTTTAATTTCAAGGCAGAATAACTTGGCCTGTTTCTATTTTATGCTTTGTTTTTACAATGAAAAATTACGATTGTTTATCTTTTCACTTCAGGGTCGCGTAAGTCAGTAATCTTTATTCATTGTAATTTCTACCGCAGTCTGGATATAAACACTCCTTTAGTAATATTAAATTATGGACGTCCAGTTGTTTTTGGGTTAATTGGCCTTTATACGACGGTAGCAGCAGTATATTTTAGAAGGGTGAACTTAACAGGCGAGGATTTTGGTAACAAATGGATGAAATTTAGGGAACAACAAGCTACACTTAACTCCTAGTAAAGGTTAAAGGTAAATTGTCTTATTACGTTTAATTTCTAGAAGGTTATCTGACATAATGGTGTGATAATTTTACTTTTCTTTTATTCAAAATAAAATGTGTTACAATTAAATATAGTTAAAGTGTGCACAGAATAGCAATAGAAGTGTCTTTTTTTATGTCGATATCACTTCCCCAATAATTGTGTTAACGTCCGTCCGTATGCCTGTTGCAATTCCTTGTTTTTAAAGGCTTTTTTACAGAAATCGACAAACTACGACTTTTTCTTATATTACTTTTTCATTGCGTTTACAATATTCATGAAGTTCGATTGATTATTCAAAGTGTGACCTACACCTGTGGGAAACCTTTGAAAAAATCGTAAAGTCTGCTAAATCATCCCATAATTCAGCTGCGACAGTAACAGCCCGGTTTGGGAAAAAAGTTGCTGGATCGAATCCAGCTGAATCGAAGGAAATTCTCTTTTTGTTTGTTCGATAGTTGTATCAATCATCATCATCAACCCATTTGTATGTCTCACTGCTGGGCATGAGTCTCCTCTCAGGCGAGGGCTTTAGGCCAATGAATCCGCTGGAGAGGCGGTAGATCAATGCATTAGGCTACCATTTTTATTATTCTTATTATTATTACCATGGCCTTTTTTGTATCAATTGAAACGTGACGAGAGCGTGCGTGCGATGTCGATACTGCTGCCTTTTTTGTAGTAATTCTTTTATTAAATGTGAGTTGTTATGGGCAAAAGTAGATGAGAACTCGTACTACAAAATAAATAAAACGAAAAGGCGATTTTCACCGAAATCACGAAAATCAAAGACTAAATCCTGATAAGTTCTATAATCTATCTATCTATCTACATCCTATTGATTGAAATATAAATGTAGGTAAACAACAGGACAACACTACAACTGTTCTAACTCGCAAACACCGTGCGACTGGAGCGCGACACTCGTGTCCCGCTGTCCGCGCCACTGCGCACAAGAACAGCACAATGCAAACCTAGGCATTTTGAACGAAACATGCGAGCCACCGCCACGTCGCTGCCGCCACTACGACCGCCACCGGTCGCTGTCGTCCAGTTTGTAACCTTACAGGTTCTATGGACACGGTTGCCTCAGTCGAGTGTTTGAAAAAACAAATATACGCTATTTAGATTCTGCCACGCTGGCCTAATTTGGGATGGGGATACGTTTTTCGAGGTCAATCTTCTTCGACGTGCAGGTTCCAGCACGATCGTTCCTTCACCGAAAAGCTCATGGTGAATTTCGTACAAAAACTCAGAGGTGCGAAATATCGGATTTGAAAACACGGCCATAGCCTTTTTTGTATCAATAATAAAACCAAAGTATTGTGCCGATTCACAAATTTCAAAAACGCTATACAAAGTGACAATACAAGCTTCAACTAAGGTCGGGAGTTTCATTTGCGTACAACAATTATTGAACTCAAAGGTCCAGTTGTCAACAATCGTGGCGTTGGTTCTAGGTTATGTTTCCGATACAACTAATTTGATAAACGAAATTTTCAGAATTAATTCTAGTATGAGTATTCTGCTTAGTGTCTCGGGGTTAACAAGCATTGTTCAGGTATTCATAGTACACATTTTTTTTTATAAAATATGTTATATGTTAAGAGTTGAGTTCTTAGGTTTTAGCGATTGATACACATAAGAAAATGACATTCTTTTCTGATCTAAATTGCGTATAATCGTTTTTCATACAAACCAACAACTCTTACACATAAACATGATACGACGCGACGTCGTAGTACGATGACGTCGTACCCTAGCGAGCCCTAAGGGTTCTTACACATACGACGTCGCTTACGGCTGCAAACTGGATCATAGCAACTGACGGTGCGGTGGCGATAACGATGCCGGCGGCGGCAGCGCGGTGAAACTGGCTTGTTCTCGACGCCAGTAACGAACACAAGTAACGCGCATACTCAACATAGCCCCGAACTAGGGAAACACAAATTACACCCAAACTCACGAGAGAAATAAATGCAGGCCTTACAAATATTTCTCTCGGTCCGGGAATCGAACCTGGGACTTCTGCGTGGCGGTCCGTCATGGTAACAGTTCGGCTACGGAGGCAGTTATTGTTAATATCGAATAATTGTTCAAAATGTAAGGCATACTTCCCGATGGAGTGGAAATGAGATACTTATAGCGTTGTTGTATCTAGACCGTCTCTCAGTTAGATTCTTTTTTTGGCAGCGATGCCAAAGTTCTCTTTGGCTTTTTTCCCTAAATTCTTCTGTATCTGGGGAAAAAAACCAAGTAATCACACCAAATTTCTGATCTGAAACTAGGGAATTTCCTGTACTATGAGTACCAAAGTAACGATCTGAGGCAATACCTAGACAATGCAATACCTGACCAGAACCAACTTAAAAATGTTTGTTTCATAAATTGGGTCAAATCGGGAACCTCCTCATCAAGCGCCCATAGTACTGATCGCTGTGCCACCGAAGAGCATAAGCACACCCCGTAACCTGAACACGACCACGCGCCGCAGGCCGAGCCCGACCCAACCGTGTAGGTGGGTATAGTGCTCGTATTTCCTAAGATAACTTGAATTATACAAGCTGAAGAGAGTTAAAGCTGAAGACGATTGAACCTAGATATTTTTTCGATTAAAATTTATAGACTCCTAAGTGTCATTAAGGTAGAGACTCATAATTCTTCAAGATAATGGAAGGACTAACTAAAACGTGGCTAAGTGTAAAATGGTTAACTACCCGTTTTAAATAGCAAAAGGTAGAGCACAAAATTCTCTTTTAAAAATCGTTAAAATTAGTTAACATGGTCGACTTATCGGAATTTACCATAACTATGCATAACTGAAATATCATTAAACAATTTCAGTATTCTAAAACTGGGTTATGGTTTTTTATGATAAATCAAAAAATATTTTGTCACTTAGCCGCGTTTTAGTCATATGTCCGATGACGATTTTCTTAAATAACTTCAAAAAAGGAGGAGGTTCTCAATTCGACTGTATTTTTTTTGTATGTATGTTTCGCGATAACTCCGGCTTTGTGAACCGATTTTCATGATTCTTTTTTTGTTGGAAAGGGGTACTTCCATAGTGGTCCCATTTAATTTTGAAGGAAATCATCCACTTCTAAGGGTGGTTGTTCACGCACGAAGATTCATTTTTATAAATAGCGCCTAAATTTTCTTAAGGAGCAATTATTTTAATGGTTGATTTTGCTATTTCTCCAATTCAAGGCGTTTTTCTCTCGATATTCTTTGAGTAGTGAGAACCGATTTTTTTTATTGTCTCCAGTGTCAAGTCCTGCATAGTAGCGAATTTAATGATATTTCAATAAAACTTACTTTTGAGGTCGGTTTTTTTATTACTTTGTACTGAGATTATTTTTTACTCAGTTTTTCATATGTCATATGGCAGATTGCAAAGGTTAGGTAAAGTGAGATAACCCTTTAGTTACATAAACATATGAAGAAAAACTTTAATAGTTTTCTCTCAGATGGTGCTACGACAAAAAAGTAGTTAAAAACCAAAAACAAAAATTTGCAACAAGAACATAGAAAAATTGTAAAGGTCTGCTGGTTAGTTGGCTGTAGCTAAGTTTGGACAGCGTCAGGCACGGTATGCTGAAAGTGCCGCCTCGGATCCGGCCAGATCGAAGGATTTTTTGTAGGTCTTGTTATTGTATTTGTATATGGTATTGTGTGTATGTTATTTAATATTAATAATTACAACAAACTAGTGGAGTAATTTTACAAAAAATAATCGAATATCACGGTAGGAAAAAAAATTGTGTAGGAAAAAAGCTTGAATGAACGTTTCATAATTCGTCTATTATTTCATGTTTTCACTTGCTATTAACTTTTACACCAATGTATTTTTTTAAATGTTTTCGCTGTCTAAATCAGTCAAGAAACAGAGAAAGACCGAAC